ATGTTTTTGCCATTGACTTCAATGGCCCATAGAATATAATGGGGCTGAAAGTGACATTGGGATGGCCGAAAGATTCCCGAATCTGCTCCTACTGACGAAACTGACATGCAGGAGTCTTACTGCCAGCCAAAATTGATTCTGCCCAATTCAGCCGAATCTGAATGGGCCAATTTTTTTTTTTTTTGCACACCCCTACAGGTAACCTTACAGTTCTGCGCACAGGATTTCATGATGTAAGCACTTAAGAGAAGCCATGTTGCATCAGGCCAATGGCCCATCCAGTCCAGCACTCTCTGTCACATAGTGGCCGAGACCCAGATGCCACCAGGAGGTCCACCAGCAGGGCCAGAACTCCAGATGCTCTCCCACTGTTGCCCTCCAAGCACCAAGAAGACAGAGCATCACCGCCCCAGACACAGTGTCTATACCATGTGGCTAATAGCTACTGATGGACCTCCACTCCATTTGTTTATCCAATCCCTTCTTGAAGCTGTCCGTGCTTGTAGCTGCCACCGCTTCCAATGGCAGTGAATTCCATGTGTTAATTACTCTTTGGTCCAGCACAAAAATTGCTTTCAGGGCCTCCTGCGAGTTAGGAATGCCGACAGACATTTGCATCATGAGCACATTTATTAAGACAGAAGGACAACAGACGAGCTTGTATTACAAGGGAAGTTTAATATCATAGCCTAAATGTTTTCATTAGCACTGCTGAGCTGTGCTACGGAAACATCTCAGTACACGTCATTGCACTTTCACAAGCAGGCACAGGTTTCAGAGTGTCAACTTCAGGTTCATTTTTAGATGGATTTGAAATTATTGCGTCTTTTGGGGTGGCAGAGGCTGCAGTGGGTGGTACCGCATTGGAATGATTCCCCTTAAGACAGCCAGCCTCTGAATGGGGCCTGGAGATCTCCCAGAATCACAGCTGAGCTCCAGACTACAGAGATCACTTCCCCTGGAGAAAATGGCAGCTTCAGAGGGTGGGCTGTTTACCCAATTGAGGTCCCCCATCCTCTCCAGGCTCCACCCTCAAACCACAAGGAATATCCCAAACCGGAGTTGGCCATCCTAATTCCCCTGCATACTCTAAGGGCAATACAGATTGTTGTTGTTCAGTCGCACAGTCGAGTCCGACTCTTCGCGACCCCATGGACCAGGCCTTCCTGTCTTCTGCTGTCCTCTAAAGTTCGCTCAATTTCATGTTCGTTGCATCTATGACACTGTCCAACCATCTCATCCTTTGCCGTCCCCGTCTTCTTTGACCTTCAATCTTTCCCAGCATCAGGGTCTTCTCCAGTGAGTGCTCCCTTCTCATTTGGTGGCCAAAGTATTTGAGCTTCAGTTTCATTATCTGGCCTTCCAGAGAACAGTCAGGGTTGATTTCTTTTAGGATTGACTGATTTGATCTTCTTGCAGTCCAAGGGACTCTCAAGAGTCTTCTCCAGCACCATAGTTCAAAAGAATCTATTCTTTGGCGCTCGGCCTTCCTTATAGTCCAACTCTCGCAGCCATACATGACTACTGGGAATACCATTGTTTTGACCATGCGGACTTTTGTTGGCAGGGTGATGTCTCTACTTTTTATCATGCTGTTTAGGTTCGCCATCGCTTTCCTCCCAAGGAGCAGGCGTCTTTTAATTTCATGGCTGCTGTCACAGTCTGCGGTGATCTGGGATCCCAGGAACGTGAAGTCTGTCACTACAATACAATACAGATTAATCAATACAAATTAATAGTGTTGCTGTGCAGATAAGATTAGGGGCAAGTGCTGAAGGTGCTTTAGGCCTATTAAATTTTGTCTCAACCCTGGTAGGTTCCAACAATTGCACTGACATGTATTTAAACATCAAGAACACCTTCAGTTAAGTAACTAGGGCTGTGTTCAGATGTGCCTTTAGATCCAATAGAGCCGCTGATGCCAGATGAATCTAGAGTGCATGATCAGACAGCAACATCTGGGAAAGGTCCTGTAATTGTTGGCACGCCATTCTTCCCTCCTTCTGAAATGGAGTAAAGAGGCACCTGGGAAAGTCTGGTCCTAACACTTGCCAATAGGCCATGGGCACTCTCAGGCCCTCAGGATGGTTTGCATATTCCATCCTGACCGGATGCCTCTTTTTTTTGCTCGCTTAGCGATATGTGCATAACCACATAATCGTCCCCATCTCTAGGCCAGCTTTGAAAATGAGCAGGAAAGGTAACCACGGCTCACTGTGAACCAAAGGGATTACAGTGCTCCATGGAAGGATCGGTAAGTGGTCAAAGTGGAGACTCAACTCCTGGAAGTTGGAAAGCACATATGTAAAAACTGCACCCTCATTTATGTGCATGCACAAAAGCAGGGGGGGGACCCTCGCCCATCCATGCTGTCTGATAGAGCAGTGGCAGGCTGAGCCCACAGCAAAATGGATTATACTGGGATGTCTGTTCGAATGACTCCGTTTCAAATACCAATGGATGAAGTAGCAGCACTTCCTGACTGCACCAAATGGCACGTCTGACCGCAGCCTAGGAAAACTTCATCCGAGAATGGGTAGTAAATAGGAACTGCATTCTGAAAAGTGAATCTTTTGCTAGGCTTTTTTGAGTTTTGTCAGCTAAGAGGTAAACTATTCTAACCCAAAATATCCAATGCACTGCAGCCCTCTCCCTCCAGGCTGTTTCAGCTTGGGAAAACTGCACAGGGAGGAGGGCCCTCTTTCCCTGTTGCATGATCCTGATCTGTAGATTTTGGGGAATTAAGTTCCACACAGCTTTGCAATTTGTCCCTGTGTATTTTTTCTCCAGGTGGGGGGGCAAAGATCTCCCAGAATTACAACTGATCTCCCAGAATGACAGGTATCAGTTCCCCTGGAGCACATGGCTGTTTTGGAGAGTGGACCTCCCCTCCTCAAACCCCACCCTCCCCAGGTTCCACCCCAGATCTCCAGGAATTTCCCAACCCAGAGATGGCAACCCTAGCCCTAAGTCACAGGACTGTACTGCCACCAGGCCCTTTTTTTAGCACAATAAAAAAAATACACAGTCTCTATCTGAAAGGAGGTCTCCAGCTTCTGCAAATCCCCACTGGCAGAGCCAGATAAAGACCTGCTGAGACACTAGACTGTGTCAAGTTTAAGCTTTGCCATATCTTTACCAAAATGGTGCGTTAGTAATTCTTTTGCATTTAGAGGCCCCTCATGATATTAGGCCCTTCAATTGTAGGTTGTGCTTAAATCTAGCCCTGCCTGGAAGTTGCCCTTTCATCTCTTACAGATCTCTTCCAAGCCGTGGTTCTTTACAGACCTTTCTCCTCCCTGTCTCTCCCCTGTCTTAGATAAGTCAGGAGTTGTAGGAAGATGTGCCAGGGCTGCTGGGCTGATGGCATGACGTCTTTGCTTTAGGTCAGGGTAGGCATCACCCTGCCAACAAAAGTCCGCATGGTCAAAGCAATGGTATTCTCAGTAGTCATGTATGGCTGCGAGAGTTGGACTGTAAGGAAGGCCGAGCGCTGAAGAATAGATTCTTTTGAACTATGGTGCTGGAGAAGACTCTTGAGAGTCCCTTGGACTGCAAGGAGATCAAATCAGTCAATCCTAAAGGAAATCAACCCTGACTGTTCCCTAGAAGGCCAGATAATGAAACTGAAGCTCAAATACTTTGGCCACCAAATGAGAAGGGAGCACTCACTGGAGAAGACCCTGATGCTGGGAAAGATTGAAGGTCAAAGAAGACGGGGACGGCAAAGGATGAGATGGTTAGACAGTGTCATAGATGCAACGAACATGAAATTGAGCCAACTTCAGAGGACGGCGGAAGACAGGGGGGCCTGGCGGGATCTGGTCCATGGGGTCGCGAAGAGTCGGACTTGCCTGTGTGACTGAACAACAAAAAGGGAACCCCAGATGTGCAGACTAGGGTTGCCATCTCCCCAGTGGGGGTGAGGTTCTCCCCGATTTCCGTCCCCCCTCCACCTTCCAGCCAGTTGCTGGTGAGGGGGGGAGCCCTGCCCCTGAAGAGCTCCCTGGCATCCAACATACCTGGTGTGATGATTTCACCCAGAGGTGACGTCATCACGTTGGGCACATTGCTGAGGGGACGCTCTAGCATTCGGCCAAAAACTCTATGATGACCATAGAGTTTATGGCCAAATGCTAGAGCGTTCCCCCGGTGATGATGATGATGTCACTTCTGGGTGATGTCATCATGGTGCATGAACCAGGGAAGGAGCCTCCATCCCCCCAGCAGAAGGTAGGGACCTGGCAACTCTAGTGCAGACTGCTAAGCAGCATACCAGGCCATTTTGCTTGGCACTCAGGGCCAGATCTCTATTCAAACAGCCAAGGTACTGCTTGGGCCAGCAGTGTCATAGAAGGCAACAGACATGGCCGCTGCCTTACAGATCAACACCATGGTCTCCAGACCATTGCTTCCCATACCTGCCCAGCTATTGGTCAAGTCCAAGGCAAATCCTTTAGATACTGTCAGCACCACCAGCACTTGCTTGCTCCAGCCTTGTCTGGCCAAGTGCAACTATTGATCCCCCCCCCCCATTTTGTTTGCATGCCAACATCTTCACAGGTAGATATTGGATATTTTTAGCATTTTGGCTAAAGACGGTTGTCTACCTCTGCTTTAGGAGATCTGCTGTAGCAGAGCAATTTTTAGAAGGGGGTGATTAGCTGTCTGTAGGAAGCAGTAACCCACACACTGTCTACAGTGTATGCTAAAACATCCACAATGATTACCTTTGATTATTGCTAATGTCCAGTCTATGCATTACACTGTCTGCATTATGCAAATTGCGTTTAAGCAGATTGTTTCCGAATGGCAGTGCAATCCTAAACGGAGTTACACCTCTTTAAGTCAGCTGAAGTAAATAGGCTTAGACAAGTGTTAACTCTGCTTAGGATGGCTCTGTTAGAAATGGAAATCTGTTGAATGGCGGTGGGAGTGTGAGAAGTTTAGTATAAATACAGGCATCTCACAGCGGGGAGGATCACAACTCAGTCGGCGTCCTTTGACCATTGCTGTGCAAGTCAAGGTAAAGAGGATTCCTGTTAACTATTTCGGTATACTGTGTTTGGTGATATTTCGCTCCTGTCTGGATTCTGCTGCTCTTAACTAATGTACCACACGGACAGTTTGAAATGATGACGCAGAATTAAGTATTAAAGTATCTTTGAATTTTAAGAAATAAGTATTGATTTATGACGACTGATTTATTAGGACAGGGACAATTACTGCCACTGTGACAGAGCACTGACATAGAGTGTAGGCTCAAACAGCTTGAACAGAGAAACACATCGTATTTAGAAAATCTCAGAAGGATATCTTTGCTCAGATACACTGTCCAGGATTTTTAATATTGTAGATGGTGAATTTAGATAAGTGTAAATATTGATTAACTATTCACTATTCCTTAACTTTTCACTGAGGAAAAAAAAAATTCTCATTTGTCTCCTAGAACTTCTGAATTCCACCATGACTACCTTGCCGGAAGCCAATGCCAAACTTGCCCTTGACTATTTCCGTCACCTGAGCGAACAGCACCCATGTGACAATCTCTTGTGCTCGCCTGTGAATCTCACCTGTTCCCTTGGCCTGCTTCTTTATGCATCTAGAGGTGGTACTGCAGCTGAGCTTGAAAAGGTATGTGTCGCCAAATAGCTTCAAGTTGGACTCTTCTGCAAGTGGATTATTATCACTTTTTCATTAAATCAAACGATTTTCTTCTGGAACTGAATTTACTCTACTAAAAGTACCTGGGAGATCTGCAGAGCTTGCAATTCTAAGCCTTTAAGCAATGCATTCCTTTGTTTCTATGACCTAATCACAAATACCAGTAATATTTGTATTTCAGAACTCTCACTTCTATTGAGAAATATAGGCATCCATTTTTCTCAGGCATCTCATTCATATGTGGGAGCTATTTGTTGCCTTGTTGCCATACAGGCTGCACATTTTGGGCATTCGTCTGTGAATCACAGAGGTACTTGCCTTAGATTAGATTTAGAAATAGTTTTCACTTGCAATCTTTAAAGCATTCTCACTTCAAAAAGACTTGATTTTTTTTAATGTATGCATCCAACCCATTTGTGATACCTGTCCAATATTTTTGTTTTTGGCTCACCTTGATGCCAGTTTGGTGTAGTGGTTAAGAGAGGCAGACGCTAATCTGAAGAACCGGGTTTGATTCCCCACTCCGCCACATGCAACCAGTTGTTGGATCAGTCACAGTTCTATCAGAGCTGTTCTCTCAGAGCTGTTCTCTCAAGAGCAGTTCTCTCAGAGCCCTCTCGGCCCCACCTACCTCACAGGGTGTCTGTTGTGGGGAGAGGAAGGGAAAGGAGATTGTGAGTCACTCTGAGACTCCAAGTGAAGGGCAGGGTATAAATCCAATCTCTCCTTCTCCTTATTTTTTAAAAATGTGTACATATTTTAATACCAAGCACTTTGTGACTAAAACCTTCTTATAACCATTCAAGGTACTCCACTGGGATGAACTGAAAGAGTCTGAGAAAGTCAGAAACAAACGATACTTGATGACTCGGATACGAACAAGTGCTTCACCAGTAAAGGTATGTCCAAATTGTTGACAGAGTGTAAACATGCAGTAAACTGGAGCACAAGCTGTTTAAAGCATAAAGTCAGTTGATTAAGAAGAGAACAAACTTTATAAGGAAGAGGAGGAAGAGAAGTCTGTCTAACTAGGAGGAGGCCAGCTGGAGCAGGAAAACCCCCAATGGAACCAATCGGGAGACAGGAAGGAGACCATTTGAAAATAGCACAAAGTCCCTAATCTCACTATGCTAACTAGTTGTCCTCTCTGCTGCCCCCTGCAGGATGTTCATGTCATTTTCCTTATCTATACACGATAGACCTTGCACATTCCAACACAAATAAGATTCAAAACAGGCTTTAGAATGGTTTTTTTCCTGCTCCAACTTGCATACTGCTAGTATTTCCAGCTATCTCAGTACCAAACGCCATAAGAATTAGAGAGAAGCATATCTGTGTCGCGCAGTGCGTGTGGTAGTATGAACCAACACCTCTGTCACGTTTGCACTCTCAGCAGTCTTTCACTCACCAGAGGCTTCCAATAGTAAACCACACTTACTCAGTCCAGTGGTAACTATATACAGGGATTTATTTACAGTATTTACAGCTCTCCAACAAAGTGCTTCGCCAGACTCCATCCACCATCAAGGGGAAATATACAGTGGTACATTGCTACTTATATACACATGACCAGCTAATCAGAACAGTGCTGATTCATTCTGACTGTGCCTCAGCTCGGCCCAGTCCAAACTGGCTGAATCTAGTTTATTACAGCTGTCAAGCTGTCAAGTAGATCTTAGAGAGCTAGGTGCTGAAACTTATACACCAACAATCTGAAGCTGGGACAAGGCCCCGAGTTTTCATTAAAATGCTTCCAGGCAAGTGTGGAAGTAGTCCTCACAAATTCATATCAGTGATAGATTCAGATTCTCTCCTATTTTTCTGACAAGCCTAATATGAACATTTGTGGCTATGCGATGTTGTAACGGGGGGGGGGGGGGCCTGTAAGAAGGTTTACTTGAAGTTTTGACAGGGTGATGGGTGCTACACAGGGGAGCAGGGAATCCACTAGCCCTTTCCTTTGCTTCATTTTTAAAAATGAGCTATATTTGAGGTATACAGAAGTTTTATATTTTCATTGTAGTTTCAAGAAAAAGACAAGATCTATCCCGGACACAGACGCTATCCTGAACAACATGCTAAATCTTGCGACGACAGACTACACCCACATGAACCACACCATGCTAGGCCTAGCGACAGGAGACGACCAGCTCCTGAACCAGAACATACTAAACCTCATGATGAGAGACGACAAGCCCCCCAGCGCCCACCTGGCCACCCTGAGCCTGAGGCACCATCTTGTCCTCAAACAGTAAGTTGTGAAATATTTGGGGAGTTTGATCTCAATTCAAACGTTGATGCTCAGTAATCATTTCTAAATGTATTTAATGGGTTAACAGAATTTATGACACAATTCAAAGGGGGGGGGAGGCAACCGAATATTTCCTGTTAAAACCTCTGTGCAAGGATTACATTGTGTGGATCTGCTGCTAAAAACTGCTGCACTTCATCTCAACCGATGGTATACATCTCTTCTCAATGAAAAAAACACTTGCTCCTGAAGTCCACACTTCACAATTATGCCAAAACCCAAATAATGCCACCCTGAAATAGTAACAGGACATTTGGTTTCAGGTTTACTGGTCCAAACCATGAATTTAACTAGAGTGGCTGAATTAGTTAATCACTATGGTTTTTGCGAACCTAAACAGCATGATAAAAAGTAGAGACATCACCCTGCCAAAAAAAGTCCGCATGGTCAAAGCAATGGTATCCCCAGTAGTCATGTATGGCTGCGAGAGTTGGACTATAAGGAAGGCCAAGCGCCAAAGAATAGATTCTTTTGAACTATGGTGCTGGAGAAGACTCTTGAGAGTCCCTTGGACTGCAAGGAGATCAAATCAGTCAATCCTAAAGGAAATCAACCCTGATTGTTCCCTGGAAAGCCAGATAATGAAACTGAAGCTCAAATACTTTGGCCACCAAATGAGAAGGGAGCACTCACTGGAGAAGACCCTGATGCTGGGAAAGATTGAAGGTCAAAGAAGATGGGGACGGCAAAGGATTAGATGGTTAGACAGTGTCATAGATGCAATGAACATGAAATTGAGCCAACTTCAGAGGACTGCGGAAGACAGGAAAGCCTGGCGTGATCTGGTCCATGGGGTTGCGAAGAGTCGGACTTGACTGTGCGACTGAACAACAATGGTTTTTGCATTCCTTTTTCATTTCTAGATGAGTCACCATGACCCCCTTTATAAATCCACAATTTAAGTTGCTTCTGCATGGGTCTTAATTCCAGAACATGTCAAATAGATGAGAAAAGGAGGTAGTGACCCATTTTGTCTCCGTACTGTATAGTGTATAGAGTATTAGACTTGGACCAAACTGGCCTAGTTTTACATCCTTGGTCACCTATGAAGCTTACTGGGTGGCCTTTGGCCAGTTACTCACTATCACTTAGACTACCTATATAACAGGATCATTGGGATGATAAAATGGGAAAACCCCATGAAATATCCCTTTGAGCTCCTCGGAAGCATGATGTGATAAAAAGGTAGCAAATAAATCAGAAATGCATTCCACTGTTCTCAATAATATTTACAAAAAAAGCATATTTAGAATTAAGCAATCCCCCCCCCCATTTTTGCTAAAGAAAATTATACCAACTAAAACAGAGTTTCAAAGCCAAAAAGATCTGGTAAGCTATTTTTAACATCAACTTGCATGTCTTTAATTCTGCTCCCGTATTGCCTATTAAAAATAGAGACTTTGAGGGGGGGGGGGAAGGTGAATTAGAAATGAACTGCAAAGATAATCACAGTATCCTGGATTCTGGCATAATTAAAGTTTTACTAGGCTGAATTGGTTGGACTGCAAGATGGCACCGCTTTAGCTGGTGCACGAAAAGCATTGGTATCGGGGAAAATAATAAAAGGAGAAATGAGAGGGTGACCTTATTGGTAGGGAATTAGTTTTTTTATGAAGTATGAGGGGAAAGGCCCCATTTTCTTCCATAGAGCTGCTTCTAAGTCTCTAAGATTGAATGCAAGGCAAGAGAAAGTAAAAACAGAAAAGTGGCTCAGACAGTTATTCCTTGGAGCATGGACTCTCAGCCAAGTGTCACTAGAACTAACATTCCTTTTCATTGCTATCTTGGAGCAGCAGACCCAGAGTATTTGAAGTCGTGTGCATGAGCACGAAAGCTTATATCCAAAATAAAAATTTGTTGGTCTTAAAGGTGCCACTGGATTCAAGCTTTGTTCTATTCCTTTTCATCATTAGAGTGTTCCAGATTATAAATGTGAAGATCCTGAAGGAGTCCATACAGGATTCAGCAAAATCCTTGAACAACTTAACAAACCCAGCACCGATTATTTCTTGAGTTTTGCCAACAAGCTGTTTGGAAACTATGCCTTCATCCAGGTAATACTACTGTCCGACCGTATTGAAAAACCGAATTGATTATATGGGCTCAGTTGAACTGCAGCATAAGTGGTCAGTATAAATGGCGTCTTATGTTTAAGGTAGGACAAAGTTTGTAGCAAAATGTGTGGTGCAAAATTTCAGATCGAATTCTTAATACAAGTGAAATGAACTTCCTCTCTTGGTCCAAAAGATGTGGGCAGAATTTTTTGAATCCTGGGATTAGGATGCCATCTATCACCAAAAAATAGTTGTTCATGTAACTGAGCAAAACCATATAGTCAATAATCTGAGGCCCTGTTCATACGAGCCCATTTGGGCCGGAAGCGGGACGGAACGGGGGCGGAGCAAACCAGCGCGATTCCACCTCAACATCTGGGGAGCGTGCCGGATCCGTCCTGGATCTGTCCCTCCCAGCGTTGCTCCGCGCCAAAAAAGAACCACCTCCCGAGGTGGTTCTTTCTGAAGGGCCGCAGCAACGCTGGCCGTGGGATCGCCGGCGCGTCCTTGCGCCGGCGCATCCCCGGCTCCTGGCCGAACTGCGCATGTGTGAGCATGCACAGTTCGCCAGGCTCCCCTTCCCACCATCGCATTCTCCCCGGCATCTGATTGTGCCGGGGAGCGTTGTGACGTGGCTCGGGGGATCTGTGAGATCCCGCCGCGCCGTCCCAACTTTGCTGCGGCTCACATTAGCCGCAGTACAAGCGTCTTATTCCCTGCCGTGTGGCAGGGACCTGAGTTAGTTACAAAAAGCACCTTTCCATGCTTGTCTCTGCTTCCATGGAATTCAGTCAAATGAAGCTCTCTCTCTCTCATCTTTTATTTTGCAAATTTCTATTTTCTATTATACAAAACCTTTAAGGGGGCTAAGTTGTTTTTTTCTATCTAGAATCAGAGAACAGATTCCATATATTATACTTTTATTATTGTTTTCATGGTTGATTGAGGATTCCATTGCTTCTCTTGCTATTCAGAAATTCCTTTTCTGTGCTTTGAAACTGTACTTGACTGAAGTTGGTAGAGCTGACTTTCATAATACCCCTGAAGAAGTGAGGAGACTGATAAACCTGTGGGTTGAAGCCCAGTCACATGGTAAGAGCATCTTGTCTACTAGCTACTTCTGCCTGAGCATTATGGTGATAGCACGATGATAGGAAGTTCTGTCATCTTTGCTCTTTGGTGGGTCGCTCTAGGAACCAACAACCAACTTAATCTTTCATGAATCAGCCAGTGAGAAAATGAAGGCTTTTCATGGCAATAGAGACATTAGATATATAATATTTCTATGAAGCGAAAGATCCCAAGGATCTTTAAAAGAATGGAAAATTAGTGTTTTGTACTACCACTTTCTACATTACAGCTTCTCCATTTAGCTTTCTCAAAGAGGGAATAATGAATTGTATGCATCAATAATGATTAAGTCAGTTGAAATGGAGTTTTCCTCTGTCTCTTTGCAAGGTGAAATCAAGGACCTTCTCCCTGAGCAGAGCGTGGATAGTCTGACTCAGCTGCTGATGGTGAATACCATCTACTTCAGAGGACTATGGGAAATTCAATTTAACAAAGAGCTCACCGAAGAAGCCCCATTTTATACAAATGAGGTAGGTTATATGTGTGCTTCCTTGCTCCTCCTGTCTGGAAAAAACAGATGGAAGAACTGGGTCCATTGTACCCAGGGGCGGATTAAGGCTCACTGGTGCCCTAAGCACTGACCAATCTTGGTGCCCCCAATCTTGGTGTCATAGCCTATGACACTGCACCTCACCCACAAAAAATAGAAGATAACCCTTGGGTGCACCATGATCAATGTGCACTAGTTTTATCAATTTTTTTTTTTTACAAATCTTCATTTTTCTTTTCTTTTCACCCTTTTCCCAACTTTGTGGCACCCCCTTTGGCCCTGGTGTCCTAAGCACATGCTTAGTCTCCTTAATGGTTAATTTGCTTCTCATTGTACCTTTCGGTCATGTTTTGAAAGGGTGTAAAGTTCTTTTGCCTCAATGACGTTTTCATGCAGGTATCTCAGGCAATGTGGATCTGCTGACCAGTCAACCTTTCTGGTCAAAGGCTCATAAAGACACCCTTAAGTAGAAATCAAAAGGGGTTTATCTGATTAATTGCAATTAGACCTAAGCGTTAGTACTTTTAACCAGATTGGTCATCTTTAGAAGGACGAACTTTGCTTTGCTGGCTCCTCAAGGAGGTTCTAGCAGAGCACATGAACATAAAGCGCATCGTACTTCCCCCCAGTTTTACTGATCTAGAATCATAACCAGGCCTTGATTTTTCATGCACAGTCTTTCATATCCCACTTCTTTCAGTGGTGTTTCCTCCATAGACATTGGCAATGGGTTGTGCAGACTCTGTAGGTCCACAATGGCAAAACAGAGAAGTGCTCCCAAAAGCAAAATTCGATTCCTTTCTCATTTCTCTCGAAATTTGCCCTTTCTTGCTTTGCAGAAGGCCTCTCATACTGTGCAGCTGATGCACACCAGGGGTACCTTCAACACAGGGATGGTCCATCTAAACAACACTGAGGTGCAAATTCTGGAGATTCCATACAAAAACCATGAGATGAGCTTGTTCATACTGCTACCAAAAGCTGAAAATCCCGATTCCTGTCTACAGGTAACGCAATTTATTTCTAAATAATATTCATGGAATTTTTCTCTGTGATTCTTATATGAACTTTGCTGTCCTTATATCCAGGGGTCATTTCGTAGAAAAAGAGGCGCAGGGGGCTCATTAGCACAACTCATTTGCATAACTCATTTGCATATGCCACACCCCCTGACATCACCGGAAGTGTGTCAGAAGGCAACACCCACCGCTCAGGCTCCACTGGACTGTTTTGGATTGCTAGCTATTGGGGGGGGGGACATGCAGATCTGTCCTCGCAGAGGAGGGAGAGCTTGTACCTGAATAAAACTTGGTCTTAAAAGTGCCACTGGACTGTTTTGGACCAGGGGGCTGGGGTGTGTGTGTCTCTGCAGCTCACCTGGCTGCTTCTTGCTCTGACTGAGGGCTGCTGGGAGAAGGGGGTGGGGCTTGTTGCATGTGCCCACCCCCTGGGCCCCCTGGGTGCTGGTAGGAAGTCACCCCCCTATATATAATGTGGCCCTAGATAGGAATTTAATTTGTATGTAAACCACTCAGAGACCCTCCGGGGTTAGAGCGGTATATAAATTGAATGTTAAATAGAAAAAATAAAATAAATTTACTGCCAGAGCTCCGCTCCTGTGCACTCCTGCAGGAAACGACCCCTGCCTATATCCATATTTGGCCATTAACTAATAATAATGGTTGCAAAGGTCTTATTGGTTATCATTTTACTTAATGTAGACACACCGTCATTGTAAAGTCACCTCAGGCAGGTCTCTAGAGAGGCAGTGTATATGGCACTTCTTTAATTGAAATTGTATGGTTACCATTCCTGTTTGTTCATTTAGCTGGAAGATGCGCTCTCCCATGTTGAACTGCTTGACTGGTCCAGTTATTTGAAGCCTGAAGATGTGAAGGTGGCCATTCCCAAATTCAGCATGGAGAAGACGGCCGATGCAGACAAGTACTTAAATCTGTCACAGATAAGTGATTCTGAAAAGGCTGATATCTCTGGAGCAATAACCATCCATGGGGTGGCTCTGTCTCAGCTTGTCCATGACACTTTCTTTGAGGCTGATGAAGAGGGTGCTAAAGAACCTGCAGCAAAGGAGGACCAAGCCTCTAAGAGTCACCGTCATGGACCTGTGCATTTTGTGGCTGACCATCCTTTCCTTTTCTATGTTCTTCACAAGTTTACCCAAAGCATTATTATCTTTGGTAGATTCTCTAAACCAGAGTGAAAGAATGATTCTATCCATGCAACTTAAAATCAGTGGGAAATAACTATGGAAAAGGGTTTTAGACCAATGAATTCTTTTGGATTTCCCCCTCTTGGCCTCAGGCTCATTGGATTAATTTGGGCAAAGAAAATTTTTATGTGGTGAGGGATCTAATTTGCACCACTGATTTTAAAGTGGCTTTGTTGTCCAATCTCCTCTCACAATTTTGCTTCAGGTCACCTTTTTATTATTAAAAGAATAGCCTTCTTCCTGATCTCTATTATCCAACAAAACAGTCACAAAATACTTGATTCAGACATCTGATTTAGGCATCAACATGAAGACCATCT